CTCTTTATTTTTCTTGGCCCTGTTTCAGTATCAAATAGAACCATTAGGACTTAGTGCAGACTAGTCACTGAATGGGGCTTGCATAAGATGCTGACTACGGTTAACTTAGTCATTGTTTTTTTTTTTAGATTTATTTTAATCCCGCCTTTATTACTATATAAATAACTCAGGGAGTGAACTCACCCAATACTCCTTCCTCCTATTATCCTCACAGCAACCACTCTACAAGGATGTGTTGGGCTGAGAGAGTGTGATTGGCCCAAAGTCAGCTTACTGGCTTTCATGCCGAAGGTGGGACTATAATTCACACCCTCCTGGTGATTTGCCCTAAGTCGCCTAGCTGACTTTCATGACTAAACTGGGACTAGAACTCATTGTTTCCTGGTGACTGGCCCAAAGTCACCTAGGTGGCTTTCATGCCTAAAGTGGGACTAGAATTCACCAGCACCCAGTTGCTGGCCCAAAGTCACTCAGCTGGCTTTCATGACTAAATCAGGATTAGAACTCACTGTCACCAGGTGGTTGGTGTTGTGGCTCCGTTACCTGAGCCTGTGTCATCGGCAGGAGAGGACTCTGAGAGTGAAGGAGAGGAGTTGGCAAGGCCTCCCTCTCCAGGACCCTCCTCTCTGGCAATGCCTTCGGTGTCTGCCGAAGGGCAAGAGATAGGGCTGGGGCCAAGCACGTCCATGCAGCCACAGGTGGACAGTGATGAGGGTAATGAGTCTTGGCTGGATCCACGCCAGCGTCGCAGAGATAAGCGCGCGCAACAGAAGAAAAGGCGTGCCAGAGATTAGGCTGAGTCACTGGACCACACCCCACAGGGTATAAAAGGGGGTGAGGTGGCCATTCAGACTCTGTGACGGACAAAACTAACTATTATTGAGTCACATTGCATCTTTGGAAACAACATTATCGGCCTTGGATTTATTTTATGAACTGGACAATTCTTGACTGTGGGTATTTTGTTTATTGAGTAAAAGTTCTTGGCAAGCAGCTACTGGGTTGCTGCCAAGCATCTTATCGGAAGAATTGGTTGTCTGCCAGTTTATTTAACCCCCGGCTGTCTGTTTGTGTGTGTGTGTGAGACGGGGACAGAACAGTTGGCTCAAAGTTACCCAGCTGGCTTTCATGCCTAAGGCAGGACTAGAACTCACTGACACCAGGTGGTTGGCTCCAAGTTACCCAGCTGGCTTTCATGCCTAAAGCAGGACTAGAACTCATAGTCTCTAAGTTTCTAGACCAGACTGGTTCAGAGCAGCTTCCTAGCAAGCAACGCAGGAAGCCATAATCAGAAAGTCCCCAAGTTTTAACCTATGTTGAAGTTACTGCATCTACAGTATTATCTATTACAGGTAAAACAGAATTATAGTCATAGAAGCTCACGACAGCCATGAGGACTGCTTAGCTCAGAGATATATGCCACAGATTTGTAGCATCAAGAAGTGGTAGGCACCCTGAAGGTCATCTAGTCCTATCCTGTGCTCAGCCAAGGATCTGCGGCTAAAGCATTTGGTCAGATGGCTCTCCAGCCTGGATTTGAAGATCTCTGATAAAGTGGAAGACATCACTTCAGAAACCAGCCTTTCCCCTCCACTTAAAACAGCATTTCCCATTAGGAAATTCTTCCTAATAGCTTAACTGGATTTAATTTCCTGCAGTTTCAACTCACTGGCTTTGTTCCTGTCTTCTGGGTGGATGGAGAACCTCTTAGTCTTAGCTTTTTATAAAAGTTTGTTTGAAGAATGATTGCATTTTCGGATGAGCTTTTAACTCTGCTGCCTCTTGCTGGCAAATTCTCTCTGCAGGATCCCTGCACACACAACACACACAAATTCAGCCGGAAATAAGCTTTGTTATAATGAGTAGAGGTTTTAGAATGCCTGCATTTGAGATCCAGTTGTTAATGTGTAACTCCTTTGTAAATGTTTCTTGTAAATGTTTACTCATGGGAATCTTCCGTTTCCTCACCTCTCTCCAGCCTCCTTACGTTTTCTAAGTTTCCTGCTTATTTGGGAATAATTGAAGAAAAATAGGAAAATATTCTCCTGGTCTCAATTGTGGGCGGAAGTAGAGGACTACCTGTGAAACTTAAAAGGTTGTGGTTATTTTTAAAACTTCCCTGAAGGCCCTCCTCTCTTTGAACTCTTGCCCAGCCTCACCCACAGTTTGACCTCACTCTGGGAATATCTGAAAAACAGGAGATTTAAATCTTTTTTTTTTAAAGTTTCTGTCACAGGGAAGATACAGGTTGTCCTCAAGTTACGACCATAACTGAGCCCAAAATTTATGCTGCTAAGTGAAACATTTCTCAATTGAGTTTCTCCCATTTTACAACTTTTCTCGCCACATTTGTTAAGCGAATCACTGCCGTTCAGGGGTGGGTTGCTACCGGTTCCCCCCCCCAGTTCGGACGAACTGGTAGCGGCAGTTGCTGGAGGTTCTGCTCACCCACCCAGACGTCATCAAAAACGCTCTGCACGCGACGTGCGCTCCCAATAGCGAACCTGTAGCACCGGGACTTGAATCCCACTACTGCTGCCGTGTTAAATTAGGAACACGGTTGTTAAGTGAATGTGATTTCCCTGTTGACTTTTCTTGTCAGAAGGTTGCAAAAGGGGATCATGTGATCCCGGGGAACACCACCACCATCGTAAATGTGAATCAGTTGTCAAGCATCTGAATGTCAATCATGTGACCCTGGGGATGCCGCCACAGTCATAGCTGTGAAAAACAGTCACAATTCTCTTTTTTTTAGACTACGTTGTTTCTGCGTGTCATAAAATATATGTTGGTACATGCATATTTTTTTATTTATTTATCTTATCATGTTCATGCAGTGTATATTGGAGGTGGAGACCTTTTGAGAGCTGCATGTAAAGGAATTTCATTTTAATGGATGCCGATTAGTGTACATTCAAAGTCACAATAAAGTTAGCCTAAATTCTATAATAGGTGGAGAGAGCAAGTCAGAAGAGACCTAACTCCCTAACTTCTAAGGCTATAAAAAAGAAACTGTGGGATTTGTACTTATTGACTTGCAAGATTGTGTCAATGTCGTATTAAAATAGTCCTCGACATGCAACGGTTTGTTTAGTGGCCGTTCGAAGTTACAACGGGCCTGGTAGCTCAGCAGACTAAAAGCATTATGATTAACACCAGCTGTCTGCAATTACTGCAAGTTCGAATCTCACCAGGCTCAAGGTTGACTCAGCCTTCCATCCTTTCTAAGGTAGGTAAATTGAGGACCCAGTTTGTGGGGGCAATAAGCTGACTTTGTATAAATATACAAAAGTATGAAGGCTATTACTTAACGCATTGTAAGCCGCCCTGAGTCTCCGGAGAAGGGCGGCATATAAATCAATTTTTTTTTTAAAAAAAGAGTCTTATGAATCATTTTTCACACTTATTATGACCGTTGCAGCACCCCCATGACGACATGATCAAAAGTTAGAAGTTTAGAATAACAGAGTTGGAAGGGACCTTGGAGGTCTTCTAGTCCAACCCCCTGCCCAGGCAGGAAACCCTACACCACTTCAGACAAATGGTTGTCAAATCTCCTCTTAAAAACTTCCAGTGTTGGAGCATTCACAATTTCTGGAGGCAAGTTGTTCCACTGATTTATTGTTCTGTCAGGAAATTTCTCCTTGGTTCTAAATTGCTTCTCTCCTGGATTAGTTTCCACCCATTGCTTCTTGTCCTGCCTCAGGTGCTTTGGAGAATAGCTTGACTCCTTCTTCTTTGTGGCAGCCCCTGAGATATTGGAAGACTTCTATCATGTCTCCCCTAGTCCTTCTTTTCATTAAACTAGACATACCCAGTTCCTGCAACCGTTCTTCATATGTTTTAGCCTCCAGTCCCCTAATCATCTTTATTGCTCTTCTCTACACTCTTTCTAGATTTCCCACAGCCTGATTAGGTGGCTCAGTGGCTAAGACACTGAGCTCGTCAATCAGAAAGGCTGGCTGTTCGAATCCCTAGTACAGGTGTCCTGCATGAGTAGGGGTTGGACGAATGACCTCCAACTCTGTTACTCTTGTACATCTTTTTTACATTGCGGCGACCAAAACTGGATGTTATTAAAATTGGACGTTAGTTATTCGAAGTCTACGTTCAGTGCCATTTGAACTCCCAATGGTCACTAAAACGAACTGTTGTGAGCAGGGGTGAAATTCAGCAGGTTCCGACAGGTTCTGGAGAACCGGTAGCGGAAATTTTGAGTAGTTTGAAGAACCGGCAAATGCCACCACTGACTGGCCCCAGAGTGGGGTGGGAATGGGGATTTTGCAATATCCTTTCCCTGGAGTGGGGAGGGAATGGGGATTTTGCAATATCCTTCCTCTCTGAAGTGAGGTGGGAATGGGGATTTTGCAGTATCCTTCCCCTGGAGTGGGAATGGGGATTTTGCAGTATCCTTCCCCTGGAGTGGGGAGGGAATGGGGATTTTGCAATATCCTTCCCTCTGGAGTGGGGAGGGAATGGGGATTTTGCAATATCCTTCTCTCTGGAGTGAGGTGGGAATGGGGATTTTGCAATATCCTTCCCCTGGAGTGGGGAGGGAATGGGGATTTTGCAATATCCTTCCCTCAGGAGTGGAGAGGGAATGGACATTTTGCAGTATCCTTCCCCTGCCACGCCCACCAAGCCCCACCCACAGAACCGGTAGTAAAAAAAAAAAAATTGGATTTCACCCCTGGTTGTGAGTCGAGGACTCCCTGTACATGCAAAACAAGCCGAGGGATGGGGGGGAAAGGAATTTAATTAAAAAAAAAAAGCTCCCCCCCAAAAAAGTGGCGGGAAAATTTTTATTTTTCCTCTCACGGGCGGGGGAAATTGAGTTTTTCCAACGACGGGAGCGGAGGCGGGGCTCCCAACGGCGGGGGGAAGGGGGCGGGGCGCCGAGGTGGGAAAAGGGGCGGAGCCCCGAAGCAGAGCAGGTGAAACCTCCGCCCGGGTTGAAGTTTTGCCCTCAGAGGCTGCGGGCGCTTTGCGGGAGGCGGACGCGGCCGGTTTCTGTTTCGGGAGCCTGGACGGGGCGGGCGTTGCCTGCCTGCGGGCGGGGATGGCTTGAAAAAAAGGCGAGCCGGAGCGGAGGTGAGCGGCGCGGCCGAGCCATGGCGCAGGAGCTGAGCCAAGCGGAGCTGCTGGACTTCCTCTGCCAAGCCGGGGGCCGGGTAGCCAACGCCGCTTTGCTGGGCCACTTCAAGCGCTTCTTGCGCGACCCTCAAGCGGCCCCAGCTCAGCTCCAGCACCGCCGCCACCTCTTCAAGGGCTTCGTCAACTCCGTGGCCACCGTCAGCCAGGACGGGCCCGGCGCCGCCACCTACGTCGTGCTCAAGAAACGGTACCGGGACCTCATCGGGGAGGTGGAGCCCAGACCACCGCCGCCTCCGCCGCAGCTCCAACAAGCCAGGTGCGATCGCTCGGGGAAATCTCCCCAACCGAGGAGGGAAGCCGAGGACGGCGGACGGTTCTCGGATGGGGAAGTCTCGGCGGGCCGGAGGAAAACCGGCACACCTTCCACTTCACCTGGAGGACCCGGATCTCGGCCTCCGCCGCCTGCCAGCCCCCATGTGGGCTGCCTGGGGAGAGAGAAGAAGGGTCCCCGGCGATCCCTGGCTGAGCCAGCCGCCCTGGATTTGCAAGAAAAGGCGCCTCAGTCGAACGGCCTCAGTTTACCCGTCGGAGAAATGGGCCCGCTTCCAAACGCCGGCAGTGTCCACCAAAGGATTCGGGATTGGATCGTGACCCATCATGAGGCTTCTCCCGAGCCGCCCTTCCAACCTCTGGAAGCCTGCCCCGTCCCAGCTTGGTCTCAAAGCTCAAACCGGAGCTCCTGCCGTCCTTGTGGGTCCTTGGATTTGGGATTTGGATCCGAGTCGTCGGAGAGCTGGCGGGATCCTCCGGTGGTGCCCGTCTTCCGCAGCATCCGATGCCGGCTTTCCTTGCAGGATTTGGAAGATCACTTGGAGCAGGAGAGCTCGGTCAGCGAAGAGGGCAGCAGCAGTGCCAGCAGGGACAGCGGTTCCCATCCGAGGGAAGGGGAAGCGGGCAGGACGAAGGGCTGCATCCGAAACACAGCTGGGGGCGAGGGGCTTGGGGACGCCCCTCACGGCAATGGCCCGGGGGTGATGGTGATGCCCCTTGTCCAAGACTCCAAGCCCCCTCCTCACGTTGCTTTGCTGCACCGGATTGTTGGCAGGGCGGGCACCATGGGCAAAGCAGAAGGCAGGGATCTGTTGAAGCCGAAGGCGAGAAAAATGGGCAGACCGCCCTCCCCAAATCTGGATGCCCCCTTAAGCCCCCGGTTGGTACCCAGACAAAGACTCGTGGCAAATGCCCCGTTTGTGGAAAAGCTGGCCTCTAACCCAGATGGGCCTGCTGAGCACAGGTCTTCCTTGGTCCCCTTGGAAGGCCGAGAACACACCTGGCTGGTGAAAATTGCCACGGGGTCTTGGATGCAGGTCCAGGCGCTGCTCCAAGAAGACCCTCACCTGGTGCTCCACAGGGACTTCGTCTCTGGCTTCACGGTGCTTCATTGGCTGGCCAAACACGGGAATGTCCAGGTGCTGGAGGACTTCGTCACCGGCGCTCAGGAGGCCGGGATTGTCCTGGATGTCAATGTCCGGTCAGGTTGTGGCTACACTCCGTTGCACCTGGCGGCCATCCACAGTCACCACCTGATCATGAAAATCCTGGTGCAGAAGCTACAGTGCCGGACGCAGATCCGGGACAGCAGCGGCAAGAAAGCGTGGCAGTACTTAAATGCCAACGCCTCGGGAGAAATATGGCAGCTTTTGGGGGCCCCACGAGGCAGGACCATCTTCCCAACTCATCCCATCGTCAGACCGTCCGCCGTCTCTTCTTCCTCAACCTCCCTAGCTAGGAAAGTGAGCAGAAAGCCTTCCCTGGCAAACTACTTGAAACCTCAACATATGAAACGGAAAAAGGGGTGTAAGTGCTCCATTTTACAGGAGATTGAGGAATACAGTGATTAACAAACGGGGCTGGGACCACGACAAAAAAAGGGGGGATTTTGATGTTCCAGGAAGACATCTTCCAAAAGATGTCTGTTTTTTTTGAGCTCACGTTTGGGGAGAAACTGCATGAAAAACGGCACTTTATTCCATATTTGGATTTTAATTTTAACTGGGATGGGGAGAATTGCTTAAGGCACCCCATGCAGAAACTTGGGGTTTGGGTCCGTCTGTTTCGTGTCCGTTGCCACTGCACTTTAGCTCTTTTTTTTCCCTTGCAAAAACAAGTGGGTGAGAGCAAAAGAACCCCCTCTGGAGGGGGGGGGGGGGGGGAGAAATGATGATCAAATTTTAAATCCATGTCAGCCTCGGAGCACGGGAGGGTCTTTTTACAAGGATCTTTCAGCTGGGTGTTTTGGAGAACGGGAGGAGGGCTGGTTATCCTTGAAACTACAACAGTCAGTATTGAAAATGCCATAATATGAAACTCGGAATCAAAGAGAAGGGTGTCATTTGCACTGTTCTCTCACCAGCTGTGATGAATTTTTTTTTTTTAACCGTTTGCCTTGGGGGGACGTATTAGGGAGACGGGCGGGCTGGAATGTCTTAATTAGGTTGGTTAACCTCATTGCAAAGAGTTTTAAACCTTCAAAGGAAAAAAAACCCAGAGGTTAAAAGAGACAATGAAGCCCAACCCATTTGGGAACTAAAAAGTGACCAAGAGAAACTTGATTGTATTTTATTACTTTGTTAAGGCCTGTTAATAAACCTTATTGCTGCTTACATATTATATTCTTGCATCATCGTGTTTACCTTAGAGGTACTTCCTTAAAATTAGCCTGAAAGGGAGACTTTGCATATGTTTCGAAGGATGGAGTAGACCAGAGGTCTTCAAACTTGGCAGCTTTTAAGACTTGTGGACTTCAACTCCCAGAATGCTATGCTGGCTGGAGAATTCTGGGAGTTGAAGTCCACAAGTCTTAAAGCCGCCAAATTTGAAGACCTTTGGAGTAGATTCTAGAAAGGAGTTCAGTGGGTGGCTCCACCATGGCTTCCCAGCACTGAATGCACCCCTTTATAGAAAGAACTTGTGGAAGCTTTTTTTTGTAGTGGCACCTTCTGAATGCTGGATCCTATGTAGAGACAGATATTTCTCTCTCTGGTCACAATGAGAATATATCTGCCGAACAAAACTCCGCATTGGCAACAGGAAAGGCATCCGGCCAGTAAACACTCAACTCCATTCAGTTGCCCAGTCTCCACCCTGCAAGGGATTATGGGGTCGTTAAAAGATGATGATGATGATGACCTTGTGAATGCTGGACAGTAGCTGCCCCACGGAGTGATGCTCTCACTGGAGAACATTTAATGAAGAGATATAATTCAAATTATAAGATTTGCAGGTGAAGGTCCTGGTTTAGCTAGGATCTTGGTTTAGCATATATGAATTCAGCCATTGTGGTTTGCAATGATTTAGGGTTTACCCTGTCTTACCAAGACAGTTTGTGGTCTGATAGATGACGAACCTTACAACAGTAGTACAGCTGGTCCTTGACTTACAACAGTTCGTTTTAGTGATTGCTCGAACTTAACAACGGCACTAAAAAAAGTGACTTGAGACCACTTCTCACACTTAACGACTACTGTAACATCCCCATGGTCACGTGATCAAAACTGACAACCAGGGTGGATAAAAATCAATGTTTTTTTAAAAATTTTTTAAAAAATCCGATTTTTTTTATTTAAATCGGATTTTTTTGATTTAAATCGGATTTTTTTGATTTTTATCGATTTTATTTTAATAAAAAACTTTTGGGGTAAAAATCTATCGTGAGATAGTTTTCTATTTAAGATACATAAATAATTTAGTTTATTCAGCATGAAATGGAGCTTAGTTATGTAGCATGAGGCTGTATATTCTGCAACACTGGGACTATCGGTGAGTCAACAGTGGGTCAAAGGAGTAGCAGAGATGACAGTTGCTCTTTAACAATTATGATTTAAATCGAGTTGATTTAAATCAAGCCTTTTTACTACTGATTTAAATCATGTTTTAAATTGTGATTTAAATCAACTCAATTTAAATCAAATCCACCCTGCTGACAACTGACTCGTATTTATGACGGTTGCAGTGTCCTGAGGTCACCTGGTCACTTTTGTCCCTTTCTGACAAGCAAGGTCAACGGGGGAAGCCAGATTCACTTAACGACTCTTCAGTGATTGAACAACTTTGGCAAGAAAGGTCGTAAAACGGAGGAAAACTCACTTGACAAATGTGGCACTTTGGGGCTCCGTTGTGGTCGTAAGTCGAGGACTACCTGTACACATTGCATACCTGAGTTCAAAATAAACCACGGTTCTTCCAGAATTGCAGCCTGCCAGGTCAACGTGGTTTGAATGGGGGAAAGGGTGAAGAGAGAACAGTTCTCTCATACAGTTCTGTGCTATCCATGTCATTTGGTTCTGTTTGCAGCTGAGATGGGTATTCCCGGTACAATATTTAATATTTTTAGCCTGTTCCAAGAAACAGAAAGGAAACCCATACTAGAAACAGTTCCATTTCGCTTTCTTCTGAAGGTGGTTCCCCTGTGTTGGTTAGCCTTGTAACTAAAACAATACGATTGTATCTTTTAATCATTTTTAGCCCTTTTATGGCACTGTTGGATTCAGCCCTTCTGCTGAAGCAAAATACAGGTGTGTTGTTTTTTTTTTGTGGGGTCCTTGGTGTTCTCGGAGCTTGATTGCTTTCTTACAGACTTTTCATTACCCAACTAGCTAACGTCATCAGTGCTAGCCACTTGTATGTCTATGGAGATTTTCAGTCATCCAGGTCATGGTTGTCCCAGAGGTGTTGTTTCGAAGGGCAACTGGACTTCCTTTTTTTCTTGAAGACGTTGGTTCAGACAGAACTGGAGAAGCTTCTTGGATGAGAAACGAAACATCTTGAAGGAAAAACGAAGTCCAGTTGCCTTTTGAAAAAGCACCTTTAGGATAGTCCAGGGGTCCTGCAACCTTAAATACTCAAAGAGCCATTTGGACCCGTTTCCCACAGAAAAGAAAACTCCGGGAGCCACAAAACCTGGGTGGGTGTGGCCAACTCGATGTCACTCACTTCCACCAGTCACATGCCCCTCCCCTAGCCACGCCTACCCAGCCGGTCATTAGGGCAAAGAACCAGTTGTTAAAAAACACCGGGAACCACAAAATCCTTTTGACATATCTCTCTCTCTCCTCTCCCTCCCTCTCTCCCCCCTCTCTCTCTCTGTATCTCTCTATGTCTCTCTCTCTCTCCCCTCCTCTCTATCTATGTCTCTCTCCCCTCCTCTCTGTATCTCTCTATGTCTCTTCTCTCCCCTCCTCTCTGTATCTCTCTATGTCTCTCTCTCTCTCCCCTCCTCTCTATCTATGTCTCTCTCCCCTCCTCTCTGTATCTCTCTATGTCTCTTTCTCTCCCCTCCTCTCTGTATCTCTCTATGTCTCTCTCTCCCCTCCTCTCTGTATCTCTCTATGTCTCTCTCTCCCCTCCTCTCTGTATCTCTCTATGTCTCTCTCTCTCTCCTCTCTCTATCTATGTCTCTCTCCCCTCCTCTCTGTATCTCTCTATGTCTCTTTCTCTCCCCTCCTCTCTGTATCTCTCTATGTCTCTCTCTCTCCCCTCCTCTCTGTATCTCTCTGTCTCTCTCTCTCTCCCTCCTCTCTATCTATGTCTCTCTCCCCTCCTCTCTATCTATGTCTCTCTCCCTCCTCTGTATCTCTCTATGTCTCTCTCCTCCTCTCTGTATCTCTCTATGTCTCTCTCTCTCCCCTCCTCTCTATCTATGTCTCTCTCTCTCTGTATCTCTCTATGTCTCTTTCTCCCCTCCTCTCTGTATCTCTCTATGTCTCTCTCTCCCTCCTCTCTGTATCTCTCTATGTCTCTCTCTCTCTCCCTCCTCTCTATCTATGTCTCTCTCCCCTCCTCTCTGTATCTCTCTATGTCTCTTTTCTCCCCTCCTCTCTGTATCTCTCTATGTCTCTCTCTCTCTCCTCTCTGTATCTCTCTGTCTCTCTCTCTCTCCCCTCCTCTCTATCTATGTCTCTCTCCCCTCCTCTCTATCTATGTCTCTCTCCCCTCCTCTCTGTATCTCTCTGTCTCTCTCTCCCTCTCTGTATCTCTCTATGTCTCTCTCTCTCTCCCCTCCTCTCTATCTATGTCTCTCTCCCCTCCTCTCTGTATCTCTCTATGTCTCCTCCCCTTCTCTATCTCTCTATGTCTCTCTCTCTCCCTCCTCTCTGTATCTCTCTATGTCTCTCTCTCTCCCTCCTCTCTATCTATGTCTCTCTCCCTCCTCTCTGTATCTCTCTATGTCTCTCTCTCCCCTCCTCTCTGTATCTCTCTATGTCTCTCTCTCTCCCTCCTCTCTATCTATGTCTCTCTCCCCTCTCTCTGTATCTCTTTATGTCTCTCTCTCTCCCCTCCTCTCTATCTCTCTATGTCTCTCTCTCCCCTCCTCTCTGTATCTCTCTATGTCTCTCTCTCTCCCCTCCTCTCTGTATCTCTCTATGTCTCTCTCTCTCTCCCTCCTCTCTATCTATGTCTCTCTCCTCTCTATCTATGTCTCTCTCCCCTCCTCTCTGTATCTCTCTATGTCTCTCTCTCCCCTCTCTCTGTATCTCTCTATGTCTCTCTCTCTCTCCCCTCCTCTCTATCTATGTCTCTCTCCCTCCTCTCTGTATCTCTCTATGTCTCTCTCTCTCCCCTCCTCTCTATCTCTCTATGTCTCTCTCTCTCCCCTCCTCTCTTGTATCTCTCTATGTCTCTCTCTCTCCCCTCCTCTCTGTATCTCTCTGTCTCTGCCCTGGCTACTTCTCCCATCCCCCGCAATCGCCCTTACCTTCTCAGGCCAGGCGAGAAGTGACTGGGAGGGGAGGGCGAGGGGCAGGGCCAGCCAGTGGTGGGATCACCTGACAGGGAGCCACAGCAGAGGGCCCAAAGAGCCGTATGCGGCTCCGGAGCCGCAGGTTGCTGACCCCTGGGATAGCCATATATATAAACGGAGCATACCCTATTCCCTTCTTGCACGATGATGTTATCTAGTTGGGTAATGAAATGTCCACAAGAAAACATCCAAGCTCAGAGCGCACCAAAACTCCCATACAGGTAGTCCTCCTTGACTTACAACAGTTCATTTAGTGACTGTTTGAAGTCACAACGCCAAAAATGTGATTTATAGAATAGAATAATAGAATAGAATAATTTTATTTCTATACCGCCCTTCTCCCGAAGGACTCGGGGCGGTGTACAGCCTATTAAAAACACAAGA